GGTGGAAAACTTGCCAAATCTCTCGATATAAGAGGAGACATAAAAAGTAAAACAATATTGCAGACACACTTACCTCATCTAGGGCGTTTAGGGCCTCGTGCTCCAACTGTAGTTCAGCCTCAAGTTCTGTGACCTTCTTTTGGGCCTCCTCATAGGCTGCGGCCGTTTCGGAGAGGTGCGTAGAGGTCTTGGTCAGCGCGTCTTGTACCTAGAGCACAATGGGAAAGTTCAAATTACAGTAAACAGAGGCGGTTGTTGTTTAGAGCATTGCATACGCAAAAACACTGAGACGAGCCCCACATGTAGCGAAAAGTACAGGGAGGGTGGGGGTGTGAATGTTAGTCGTCAAATCGTCAGATGGAAATAAATGATCTAACGGTACATAATTCAATGTAACCAAATCAACCAGTTTGGACCAAGCGTTGCCGAGCTACCAAGCGAATACACGTGTAATTGTTACTATTATCAAAGCAAGACTACCCCTACTTTCAGGCATGAATATTTATTATTTGAAAACTATGAAAGTATTTTTTAACACAAGAATGTACTTCTTCATAAAAATAAGCAAAAGTTAATTAGATAACATGGTTATGTGTTCTGTGAATAAATGAATCCACGAATCCTGAACCACGAAAAGGCGGTGCCCTATACGGATGTTCACATCGTAACGCAATTTACTATGGCATCAGCCTTTTCACAGGCCACCCCAAAATCTACCAAAAAGGACTGAGGCATAGGAGGGTCATTTTTCTTTATTGACAGGAGGGGTGACGGTAAGATTCCTGGGTTTAATTTCAGTGGCTTTAGCATAAAACGGAAACGTTGTGTTACTATAACATACAGAGATTGCACTAGAAATGATCGAAAAGGCTGGTGGAAGAAACGAAGACGGGGGTCGCCACCCAAGGGGTTGGGTATGGCTGGCTGGTGACAGCTAATAAGCTAGAAATGGTCATTGTGGTCTTCCTCGTCTTTATCGGTAATGTATTTCTGTCTACAAAAAACACACACTGCCTGGGTGGGCGGTCAATACCCATTGACCACGACCCTACTAGGTAGGTCAAGAAGACTTGAGACTAATTATGTTGTAGACCTGAGTATTTAGTTTAAAATGTCTCCAAGTCTTCACATAAAGTCCCCAAAACTGTGTACGAATTCAGATGACTACAGATGAACAGAAAAAGACGGTGTTTTGTCGGTTCACTGGCAGTAGAGCATAAATTTCCAAAAGTAGTCTACCGTCGATACACACTCAAGCATTCCGATTTGCAGAAAACGATAGAATTGGGGGGGAGGGCACGCAGTCTCACCTGTTTCAACTCCTCTTCCTTGGCGGCCACAATCTCCTCCTGTCGGGTCACACTGAGGAGAGGACGGACCTTTGTAAAGAGACGCCACCAAGACCAATTTCGCAGCTTGAGGTAGGCTACACAGTTACGCTGGATAATTCTAATAGCCTGAATATCCTGTATTCGCTGTTGCACATTCCTATGGGGGGGAGAGGAGGGAAAAGAAAGGAATACAGCATAAGCGTTTGCATTTTCATGGGTCGATGAATAACCAGGCAAAATTCATCAGATAACACATGGTTTTCTATCAGAAGAAACCGGATGAGGTAAAGCAACAGCTGGTGAGGGCTCTATAGTAAAACTGGCACGCATTCAC